GGTTATGCCTATGAAGCAAGACCGAACACTTAAAAACCGCTTTCTCCGTTCGAGTAAAACAAAATACTTTTATAACGTAATTTGAAAAATAATATTTATTTTATTTTAAACATTTCATTTGTCTTAAAAAACTTTGTACATAAAAATAAAAAATTAAAACAAAATTTCGTTCAGAAAACCTCATAGAACTGACCTTAATTTGTGTTCACTTTCCACTTCATATAGTTTTTGGTAGAAATTGTATAAAAATCACACATTCATTTTCGATAAAGCTTCCCTTGTTCTTCAGCACCTCTTCAATTCGACAATGTGGTTGAAACATTTTCGCAAGTAGGGTTTGGTATATCAGTCCAAATTTTCTGCACTGTATAACAATGCTGCTTGGAGGTGTTTCAATATTTCGCAGACCTTTTTGAAATACAGACCATAATTTCTCTATCGGGTTGAGGTCTAGATTTTGGGCTGATCATGTTATCGTATCGAATATTTGACTTGTCAGCCATTCCTTCACCAATGTCGAACAGTGTTTCGGATAATTTTCCTGTTGAAACGCAAATTTCTCTTCAGCAAAGTCCATCAGACCCATTTTAGCCGGTAAATTCTCATTTCTATATTCAAATATATTTCCTTTGAGAAACACCACCAAACCATCAAGCGCCCACCCCCGTGTATTATTTTCCACCCTGGCATTAAAATCGCCAAGCACGATTTTCACATAGCGGCGGGGGCAGCGCACATAAGTATGCTCCAGGCGCTCATAAACGGCATCTTATGCGAATAGTCCATCTCCTCCATCGGGACGTGTAATCAAAACAACAATATGTCAAAAAATTGCGCTTTGATGTGGATTGTGAAGAGACGTTTATCCACAAAGGTGAATGCCAGCACTTGGTGACGGAGTCTCTCTCGCCCCGAAAATCCGACACCAATTTTGCGCTTCTTTACATGACCGCTGTAGTAAATGTCACAAGGACCTACGATGCTTCCTTCCTTGTCCCGTCCATGGCACTTCTTGGACGTTGGTGATGTCAACCTTTGTTTTTATGAGGACTCAAACAGCTGGGCAGCGGCACGTTTCCAATGAAGGGACTAGACATTCCAGGTGCATGCCCTCAAATCATATTCATTCGCTCAACCTCGCTGGGCAAGTAAGTTTAAAGTTTGTACAGAGGCTGCTATGACCGCAGTGGGCCCTTAAACCGAGTAAGTCGGAGTGATTCACCTGAGGCTTCCTGTCTTTTAGACTCTATGCATTTCCGATAGGCGGCTGTACCGGCTGAGGCTGGTATGTATTTCAGATGATAATGCCTTTAAAGTGAGTGTGGACAGTGCCTAACGAATTGTCATCGCCGTTTCAGTGACAGTTGTTCTTGTTTTCGTCTTATTCACGCTCGAAAAAGTCCGTTTATGTGCCTAATTCTCGCCATTTGCGGGAAGTTTTACTTTTCTGTTACAATTCGAAAAAAATGCAACTAAAGCGCGTCGAATGCTCTCAGAAACTTACGGTGATGCTGCTCTGAGTGAAAGAACGTGTCGGGAGTGGCTTCAACGTTTTAAAAATGGTGATTTCGATATCGAAGACAAACATGGTGGTGGAAGAGAAAAAACCTTCAAAGATGAACAGCTATAAGCATTGCTTGATGAAGATTCGTTTCAAACCATCACAAGAGATCGCTACCGAACGCAACTGATGCGCCTTAGTCGCGCGCTAAAAGAAAAGCGGCCACAAAATCAAGAGCGACATGACAAAGTCATCCTTCAACACGACAATGCTCGGCCTCACGTCGCAAAAGTGGTCAAAAAGTACCTGGAAACGCTGAAATGGGAAGTCTTGCCACACCCGCCGTATTCCCCAGATGTCGCCTCTTCTGACTTCCACCTATTCCGTTCGATGGCACACGGCCTGGCAGATCAATATTTTCAATCCTTCGAAGAATTGGAAAAATGGATTGCTTCATGGATAGCGTCGAAAGAGAACTCCTTTTTTTGAGCCGGGATCCGAAAATTGCCTGAAAGATGGGAGAAAGTTGTCGCTAGCGAAGTACAATACTTTGAATAATATATCTGTAAGCACTTTTTCGCAATAAAGCTTATAATTTTGGAAAAAAAGCGGCAGAAGCAAAGTTGTACACCTGATATATTTTATGAATAAATAAATTAATTAAAGGATCTGAAAAATGTAGCCTTCTTGCAGATGAATACAAGTATATTGAATAGGAAAAAAATTGGATTTCTTATCTCCACTTTTTATCCCCTACTCAGCGAACATAAAAACGCTCCCTCGTATGAGTATTATGTAGATACTTATTTTATTTAATTTTTATAAGTATCACCTGATTTTATGAAAATTTATATTTTTTATTTGCATTTATTCATATCTCGTGAACCATCGCTTCTCTTTGTCAATAATGGCAATAAGTTTGATTTGTGAATCATCTCTACGACCATAATGCAGTAAACCATAGTCCATTTCATCTTGCGGGCCGTATGCCATATGCAGCAACCAACCGTATTTTTGGTTTTCGGTTATTGGTGCCAGTGATCGATTCCTCAGGGTATTATTGTGATATTGAGTAATTAAATCAACATAATTATCCACTTTGGGTGAGTTTAGGAGATTTGAGTCAAAATCGAATGCTTCATGGCGAGCGTAGAATTTTTCCGTTAGTGCTTTATACCGATAATTTGGCCTATAATAATTATTACTGTGTCTGGTGACCGTTTTGGCCGTGCAGCAGGGCATCGTTGGTGAGAAAAGTAAATAAAAAAGATATATTTTTAAAACTATATAAAAATACATAAAAAAATATACAAAAATGTATAAAAAAATGTATACACGAAAAAATCGTTTAATTTATTTTTTATTTCTTTATTTTATTTTTTTGGTGTTTATTTTGACTATTGTTGTTTATGTTTGATATGACATTTTTTGTTGTAAATTATTACAAGCGTATACAATAAAAAATCAGAGTATTATACATTTTTATTTCAATAAAACTTTATACATACAATATACCCATGATTCAATAATTAAAGGTTGGATAAGTAAACAGCTTTCTCGCTCCCTCTTGACACAAAGGCTCCCTTACTTAAAAACCATAATGCTTCTTTGTAAAATAAAAAACAATTTTTTCGTTACAAATTTTTAAAAAGTAGCAGATACTTGATTCTTGATTCTTGAAGACTTTTGCGGATAAATCGATCTTGTGTTGTGACTCGCTATTTGACCACTTTCCACAGGTAATTATATCCGGGTATGTATTTCCAAAATAGCAGAGTACTTTAAAAAATACCTTAAGATGTTTTCAATTGGAGAAAATTTCTTTAGTGCAATGCATGCGAAAGGCGATCTTTGTGATAACCCCAGTCCTATGCAATTCAAATATGTATAGGCTGCGGAAATATTTGCTAGGTAAAAATTGAGGTAAATAGATTAATAATAAAATATTTAATATAAATGTTACTTTAGCACGAAATGCGAAACATTTTCAACATATACCAATGTAGGGTCAGATGAAACGGAGTGGCTTCATCCCGATGATGACCTAGAGTAACTAAATTATTTTTTAAAAGATATAGACGTTGTATCAGAAGAAGAGCTGTCATTTCTAAATGAACTATAAATAGAAGATAAATACAGTGAATTAAAAGACGATGCATTGGAATATATAGCAGGATATATTATAAGAAAATTGTGTCTATAAGAACATGTGTCGAAAGCATTTTCTTATACGTGGGTTGATGAGGTGTCACGTGGAAGTTAGACTAAACCTAGCACTAATTTTTTGTAAATTATAAAAAATCTAAAGGAGACGAAATTCGAGCATGTAAAAATAGGTATGGCTGTAAAGAAACTTTTTTTCAAGACTCGCATACACCAACTCATTAAACATTTGAATAAAAATATTAAAAACAAAAAAGGTTTAAAAATTTGTTAAAAGCATGAACGATCTCATCGCCTTGTAAATTATACTGTAATATATTATATATAAAAAAAAATATATAATCACAACTCATGTGACACTTTTTTAAACAAATAGTATTAAGAAATTCTGCCATTAGTTCTAAGTAGATCAATACTGTTTTTACTTGTTTTGAAACAATTGTAATATACTGGTACATACATACATATTATAACGAATTTGTTTTAAATTAATGTGTGTACATACATATATGTAATATTTTAAATTATTAAAAAAAATGTGTGTTATAAATATTTACAAATTTTTCTAATTTAACCAATAAAAAGTAATTTGTCTACTATAATTTTATTATTTTGCACACCGCTGCACCGATAAATTTTGATATCATAGATGCACATAATTTAGCAGATATGAATATATTTTAATTTCAAAGCTATTCGTTTTTAAAATTAATGAAATAAAATAAATATCATGCAAATGACTTACTATTTCTCCTTCTTTCTTTTTTTTAACTCCTTTTTTTGTTACCTTTTCCCTGTTTTTTTTTTTTAAATGGAACATATTTTCTCCCTTTTTCTACTACTTTCCAAAATGCAACCATTAGTAATGGAGTGTCAAAACTCCCATGTCACTACTTATCCAACCTTTAATTATTGAATCATGCAATGTACCCAACAGAGTAATGCAATGTATAATTGGCGTTTTGTAACCGCTGAAGCGATTTTCGGCCGAGCTCGTCCTCTAACTTGCAGTGTGCGTCTTGTTTTTTTCAACAAGTATAGAGACATACAATTTGTACTAATCCGTCTTCAGAGGTCTAATGGATATTTATAAGCAGCTTTTATTTCAACTCAGAAATAAAAAAAAAATATTTCCATAATTTTTGGATTTTGATCGGATCAGGACTTGAACTTTAGGCTACATTACACATAAGAGGTAAATAATTTTGTGATTTGGGTCATAAGAAGAAATTCAAAACAAAGTTATCACAAACAATTCTCAAGTTTACTTTGCTGAACATTCAGTGGCAATACAACTTTTTTCATATTTAATTGTTTTTTTTTTTTTTGATTTTTCACTTTCGTTCGAAATATTTTTTTTTTATTATTTTTTAACTGTCATTTCTGATAAAATTAGAAGTAGAAACATTTTAAGAAATATTTTGCCGATCATCAGCTTATATACTCAAGTTATGGCTTTTAATAAATTTCTGCGATTAGCTAATGGACCGGATATGCCAGCTTTCGGCTTCAGAACTTTTCAGGTAGATATTTTATTTAAAGAAAGAATATTTTTACATGTGATTATTTAATCTAATATTTTAATTAAATCTCTAAAGAACCACTAAAACCTGCAATTTATGTTGAACATTTAAAATTTTGCTATGAGAACTTTAAGCTTTTATATTTTCTTCCTTACCTAGATCAAAGGAGACGATGTTAGTGTGGCCTTAAACGATGCAATTGAAGCAGGATATCGGCTCATCGAAACATCGCCTTCCTATAATAATCAAGGTGATGTTGGAGATGTGCTGGCTGCTTGGTTGAATGCAAATAGAATTAAACGAGATGAATTGTTCATTGTAACCAATTTGCCTGTTTCAAGTGAGTGTAGAAGTGGCGTTTTAAGCACCAATGAATAAAATTATAAGACTCTACTTTTCTATATGAATTAAAAACAAAATAATGCAGACAATAGACCACAGGAAGTAGAAGACATACTCAGGGACTCCTTACGCTTACTCAAACTCGATTATGTTGATCTATATTTGGTGGAAGCGCCTTTTGCCGTTAAAATGGAAAATCCAGAAACTTTTAAGCGAGACAGTGTCGGCAATGCCGTTTTAGATTCCAACACTGATCATATAGGCGTTTGGGAGGTTGGTGAACCACAAGCACAATGGAAGTATGTTAAATGTTTTAATGTAACAAATATTTTTTGTCAATTATTTAGGTTATGGAAGAAATGCTCAGTATGGGCTTGACTAAATCTATTGGCTTGGGTAACTTTAATATCGAACAAATAGAGAATATTGTGAGAACCAGGAAGATTATACCACATGTCTTGCAGGTAAATTGTAAAGTTCATCGAACTTCTTAAGTTGTACCGAAGTCTCATATATTTCACTGGCAGATCGAATATCACGTTTACCTGCAACAGCCGGAACTTATAAATTTCTGCAGATCAATAAACATCACTTTGTTAACTTACGCCGCTTTAGGCGCCTTAAATGTCATATCCGAAAAACAAAGGTCTTCGGTCAAAGCAAAAGATGATGCAGTACGTATTTTAGATTTGCCGGAAATACGCGAAATAGCAGCGGCACACAAGAAATCACCAGCTCAGGTGGCATTTCGTTGGATAATTGATAAGAAAATGGCATTGACTGTAAAGAGTGCAAATACTGAAAGGATTAAAGCGAATATTGACATTTTTGACTTTTCCCTCACCAAAGAAGAGATTGAGAAACTTAATGCGCTGGATAAGAATATCCGTTATATGGACTTTTCTCAATACAAAGGGTGAGTCACATGCAACTGTGTGATTTTTTGTAACTAAATTCCGGTGTAAGCGAGTCGGGGAAAAGAACAGTGAAAAGTTTGAAGTAGGAATGTTAATACGATATGCCAAAGAAAACTGACATGAATTCTATGTCTAAGATTTTTCGAAGAAAATACAAAAAATATTTCAATTAAAAAAGTAGGAAAATTATATTTTAATTATCAAGTAATGTCTAAAGGCGTACTGTTGAAAGCTGAATCTTTTATAAAGGAATATGTGCCTTAAACTATTTAAAGAAATATCCGATTTTTTTAAACAATATATATGAAAAGTAATCCTTGATGCGAGGGCCACACTATAAAGTGGAATCATAAGAAAATCCTAACCAAACTATCGGGGTTTCTGGTGAGTCACTCTCGATATTTGTTGGCTGGCGTTGTCCCACTTTTCATCACTAGTCGCCATTAGCTTCAGATCGATTTTGTTGCGATTCGCATGTGTAGCCTTTTTCAAGTTATTCCAAACTATTTTTAGTGTAATGTTCAGCTTCTGGGCAATCGAAAGAGTAATCGTTGGTGGTCAGACTTGACAAGTTCCACTATTTTATCGACATTTTCGACAACTGGCTGTCAAACTGTGGAGCATCATCACATCACTTCAAATTTACCGGAACGAATTCGATGAAACAAAAATTGTGCTTGATTGGCTGCTACAGTATCAGGACCATAATCGCCTGAGTCGAAGAAAAATTGTCGAATATAGCGTAATTTATCTTTGTATTTGGTATCCATCTTTGGTATCCACTCAAGCACTATCGAGTTAAGTGATTAATACTCATCTCACTATCTTTTTCGCTACAAAATATTAACCCTTCGAGAACTCGAGATACAGATCACTAAAGCCGTCTATTGCAACAATAATGGACTATATTTTACAAAACCCATATATATTTTTAATTTGTTTAATTTAATTAATTTTTCAGTGTCGAGAAACATCCAGACTATCCTTTTCTACCACCAAAATTAAATGCAGAGGCTTAGAAGAGAAAAGCTTGATTTTCTTGAAAATCCATTTAAATGATTACGATGGCTTATTTATAAAAAATAATGTATGATTTATCACATCAATGGTTAATTAAATAAAAATAAAAACAATAAAGGAATTAAAAATTAATTTTTCAATTTGATTTTGTGGTGGTTTTTGAAGCAAATGAGAAAAACAACTATACATTCATAGTTTAATATATATATAGCGGAGTTCTTCCAAGGCAAATTCACACATGGAAGTAGCAAGATTACAAAAACAAAAATCCTATGTATTTTGTTTGTGTAATTTGTTAAAATAGAGTGAAGAACAAGCAATCATATGATGTGACAACTTCACTTTCTATAAATTCGTCTTGGGTTCCTCTCTATCTCTGAATATTTCGGGCCTTTCAATCATTTATTTCGGAGATCGAAAGTACGAACTAGTCGAACAGAATGTGGTTAATTTATTACTATTTACCACTTCTTTCTAATTGTAAAGCGCACAAAGTTTTTATCAGAATTCGAAAGCCTATGAGTATTAATGAAGTTACTGCAGAAAGCACTTCTAAAGTTGTCGAAGTCTTCTAATAAGTTTAACGCTTCCAACTACAATATAATGGCGTGTCGCACCTTGATTATCCGATCCCTCGATTGGAAGGGTGCCGCTGCATAGATGGTTGATGTCCTCGAAAGACTAAAGGTTAACCACTGCCACCGTCCAAGAAGTTCGGTGAACGAGAACGGTAAGTCGATGAGTACTGATATTAATACCGGTGGATGAACAACTCGCCACAATCCGCATCAAAGTGAAATTTTTCAACATATATTAATTTGTGTCCATGCCCCAAGGAAGGAAAGAATGATTTGAACAAGCATGACTTTAATAAGCGCCTGAAGCATACTTATTAGCGCTACTAAATGCCAAAAACAGGCTTGGCAACTTCAGCGGAAATATAGTCCACACCGGCATATTAGTATTAGATTCAAACCCAAGAAAATTCACGAACTACCTGAAGCTGACAATCATGTAGTCATGCGACTTAATTTTTCCAGTGATTTTGATGTGTGTACGCTCCACTACTATGAAACAAATGTTTCATTGTCCGATGCCACATTTTGCGCCAATTATCGTGCCTCCCAAATATCGCAACATTATATTTATGTTCCTTAGCCAGATATTCACGATGCTCCAAACCTTGGAAAAGACCCGTGAAAAAAGGACCGACATATACCAACTCTTTGTTGGTTTCATAATAGCCTTCGATTTATTATCCCCGCAAAACTTAAACGGCTATGTAAGTAAACTGACGTTAAGCAACACCAAAAGCTCTCTCAGAATCGGAAAGGACCTCTCCGAGCCGTTCGAAACGAAACTTACTTCTTATAGTGCGATTTTTTGATTTTCTGAAAGAAGTGATGCTCTGCACGGTAACGGCAAACACCGCGATGAGCTATATCAGATATACGGCGACATTGACATGGTTCAATGGAGTAAGCGAGGACAGCGGCTACTCTAGCTAGGTGATAAGAAAATTCCAACTTTGAAAGTTCATGATACATTATCCGTCGGTAGAGCAGAGGAAGACTTTCGTTAGACCGTTAAAGAAATCAGATGGAGAAGGACCTGGAAGCACATCGTGTTTGGCAACAAGGAAAATAAGTATATCGGCTATAATCTGGCAAGATAACTAATTCAAACTGACAAACAAGTTTTTTTCTAAATTTTCAAATTTGTTTTGATTTTTAATTATAGCTATTTTTGCAATACAAGACAATTGAAATAAGAAAACCACAAAAATTCGGAAATTAGTAGAAAATTGAAAGGTCCGATGTGTGAAAATGTCGTCAATTGCAATATCACCAGTTTCAAGTAAAGTAATTACTTTGAATGATGGCAACAAAATGCCAATAATAGGAGTTAATACATGGAATGTGAGTGAATATTATGAATTGAGGAGATAACTCCAACTGCAGATGTGCATTTGTCCCTTCAGCTCGCTACGGAAGATCTGGAATTCGTCATAAAGGGGGCCATACATGTGGGCTTTCGACACATTGATACATCTGTCTTTAACTTGAACGAGAAACAAATAGGAAATGTATTGAAGACGTTGATTGATGAAGGCAAAGTGAGCCGGTCGGAATTGTTTATAACCACAAAGTTGCCTCCCACTGGTATTAATGTAGATTAGTATGCATTTAATAACATTAAAACGTATCTACTTCCTTGTGGAAAGCCAATAAGCCAGAACTTGTTGAACCTGCTTTGCTGGAATCTTTAGAGCGTTTACAAATGGAATATGTGGACCTATATTTGATTCAGTTGCCGGTTGCATTTGAGCGTGACAACAGTTTTGATACGATAAAAGTAACTAAAGATGGTTTGGTCTGTTTGGAAGCAACGAATCATATAAACGTGTGGAAGGTAGGTGGCATTAATAATAATAATACTAATAATAAGCCCAACAAATGCCCTCCACCTGCCCAACCGACCCGAGAGGCGACATCCGCAAAACGTACGGAATATGCCGCGTCATGATTGGGAAGCGTCGAGATTTAAAGCTTTCAGCTACAGAAAAAACAGTTATTCCACAGCTGATATTTAGTGATTATGGAGTTTTAAAATTTAATTGTTGAGAGAAGTGAGACTAGGTTTATGATGCTCAAAAGTTAGTCTGAGAGATCGAAGGCGCTGGAATGAAAATTAAAATTGTGACACAATCGGTGAAAGGGTCCATTCAATACGTAAGGATATTGTACAAATAACAATATGTGTTTCATAAAACAATTGAAAATTGTCTATAGTCCGAATGGGTCAAAACTGGAAAAAAGAGTAGGTAGAGGAGTATAAAATGGGTGATTGTGATCTAAAAATATTTGCACCTGACGTATCACTGTATGTTTTTCAAGCGGAACTGTTCACCATACAGAAGGTTGTCAGCTGCTTAGGTCAAATGGTGCAATTAAGAGTGTGTATAATTTCTCCGATAATTACGCAACACTAAGAGCCCTGGAAACTATCACAATATAATCAGTGACGATGGAGAACTACTGAAAACTACTAAACGCGATGACGAAGTAGTAGCTTGCATGGAGGGACACTTCCCTTCCACTTTCGTCATCATGGAAGATTCTGGACATGCCGCTCTCCACTTGTTAGCTAATCGTTGAAAAGTCTTTTATCTTAGATGCGAACTCAAAATAGAATAGTCTCAACTACTGCAATTCAATCGGAATCATGCGGTCGACCTGGAACAAGAAAAGGTCAAGAGAAGTTATCTCGCTAAAAAGAAAAGAATTATCTATGATGAGGAGTCTTCTAACGGAGTATTTTTTCTTAAGTGAGCATGCAGGAAGACTTGTTGTACCATCAAGTGATTTCTGCAGGAGTTGTGTAGAGGATTGACCTGAGACCTTAATAGGTTGAAGTCCTTAGAGGCGGCAAGCTTTGCAGGCTTGAGCAAAATGGCGGGTGCTACGTTATGTCGATTGTCCTGTTTTGCTAAATGGACTCCTTAGTGGTATCATAATGGGTAAACAACTCATCTTTCTGAACAATTTTTATTCTGTCTGGCTTTTGTGATTTTGAAATGATTCTAAAGGTGACGATATTTGGAAGATGATAGATGCATACCTCAAGAATTCAATAAATAAAATTGTGTAGCGGAGTAAAAGGTTTCAAATTTGTCAGCGGTAGCCGAGTGGTTAGCATTGCATACTGACATTCGGAAAGCTCGGGTTCATATCCCGGTGCCACCAACATCCAAAAACTTATAGAAAATTATTTGAAATAAAAAAAAATATGTTAAAATTTTCTATTTGCGGTCGCCCTCGGCAGGGAATGTCCACTTCTCCGAGTGTATTTCGGACATGAAATAAGGACTCCACTTAAAAGAACCCTCAGCCGTTCGGAGGAGGCTTAGCATAAACTATAGGTCCCTCAATTTTTTGGAAAAACATCAAGACGCAAAACCAAAAATTGGAGGAGGAGCTCGGCCAAAAAATCGCTTCAGCTGCTACAAAGCGCCAATTATATATATACATGAATTTTGCGGAAGAATATATTTTTGTGTGTTATTGAACAATCTCGGTTTCCGTGGGAAAGATTTTCAGTTCGATAGCATACTCCTAATAAATTTATATTTTCCCTGTAGTACATACATACATTTTAAATTATATTTTTAGAAAATGGAAGATCTGATCGTTAAGGGTCTGACAAAATCTATTGGTTTGGCAAATTTCAATCAAAATCAAATTCAGAATTTAATTTCTAATTGTACCATTGTTCCGGCAGTTCTACAGGTTGGTCCAACCAATTAATACCCAGCATTATGTATGGAAATAACTCTTCGTTTCATTCCACCATCACAGATTGAGTACCACATTTTTCTACAACAACCGATTCTTATTGAATTTTGCAACTCAAACAATATAACCGTAAATGCATTTGCTGTACTTTGTACGGAGGACATGTTGTCCTCCAGCCATTTTTTGGGAAAACGATTACTGCCGAATATAATGGAAGTAGCAGAGGTGAAGGAGTTGGCTGAGAAATACGATAAAACAGAAATACAAGTGTTAATGCGTTGGATTATTGAGAAGAACATAACAATTTTAATGAGAATGAACAATTCCAGTCGTATGCATGAGATCATGGGAATATTTCAGTTTCACCTGAGTAAGGATGATATTCAAATCTTGAATGAATTGGATGATAATTTTCGTTGCGTGGATTTGTCGGCGATATCAGGGTGTGTATTTGTAGATTTCAAGGATTTCAATAAGCTCATATATTTCATTTTAGTATTGAAAATCATCCGGAATATCCATTTCATTAATTGCTATTCATTGAAAAGGTAAAAAATTTGATATTTTTGAGTCAGTTTGCAAATGTTCTTTATTTAAATCCAAATAAAAAATACTTTTTAAGGTAATAATTGTAGAAACATTTCAGAGAATAAAATTTTTTTCAGAATCGATAACAGGTGGGTTAAAATTTAATTTAGTTTCGTCTTATAGAATCGCCACAGAGCTTATTTGGCTGTCCCGTGCGAAATTGAGAAACATCATTTCAGGACGGCAAAAGGCGAGCTCTTGTGAAATGTACATCAGAAGCCATAAAAAGAAGCGTAAATTCGGGGTTGTCTTCGTAGTGGAGTCCTCAATAAAGCGAAATTTTTCAACATATCCCTGATTTACGCTCACGCGCCGATGGAAGACAAGGATGATGTGACCAAAGGGTCCGTCTATGAGCGATGTCAAAATTTTGTTTGGCACCTTTAAACAACAGGATGGACAATTCAGTGCTATGACGAAATATCCCCAAACGGACTGAGGCTGATCGACCACGCCGGGTCCGAAATATGATAGTCCAGAGCGTACTTCGCGTATAGCGAATACTTCTACAGCCTTCTAAATAAAAGGGGAGAAACAACACCCGGAGATGGTAAGCCCGAAACTCGAAGCGATGATGAAAGGAAAGACGGTGAGGTGAGGTTTAATTAACGAAACCAATGGCTTGCCAGCAGGGTTATCCAAACATGGTGGCGAAGAGCTAACAAGGGTTATGTAGCAGCTATCTTACAGAATAAGATCGGACGATCGACTTAAACCAAAGCTTGTTCCGCACATTCGCGATATTAAGGTCCTTTCGAGCGTGTTATGTGATGGACTAAGCTCATCGTCAGCAAACTGATTGAACCTTATCAGTATGGCTTCAGGCTGAATGAAAAGACAGCGGCTATGCTGGCTAGGTCATGTGGTCCGGATGTATACGAGTACTCCAGCTTTGAAAGTTTTCGATGTAGTACTCGCCGTTGGAGGCAGAGGTAGAGGAAGACCTACACACCGTTTGAAGTACCAGGTAGAAAAAACGAATGGCGCAATGTTTTAAATAAAGTTAGTAAGTTATATGAATTTATTATTATTAATTTATTGAATATGTTTCGAAAATATATAAATTTGTGCATAAATAAATTCGGGTATATTTTTATTTAAGTAAAACATTACATTTACGGGACCAATCGTTCTTGCACAAAAATTTGTCCTCAATTGACTTATTTAATAGTTTAAAATTAATTTGAAACAATTTTGAAATATTTTTACCACATATCAAAGTGGCCTTTCTGCGTTGAAAAAACATATTTACATCAAATTATAAATAATTACTAATGATAAGGCAGTGAGCCCACTTGTATGTGAGCAAAGGCAGTGATCAGCTGTCACTTTCCACGAAATATTTCAAACTTAGAAAATCGTAATTTGGCAAACTTGCGCTTTATAATTGCTTAATTGAGCATTTATTTTATATGGAGGGCTGACAAAAGTTCGCCAATAGGAGACAGTGTGCACGGTTTGCTAGTTTTATTGCAATAAAAAAAAATATTTAAAGATGTGTGCAGTCGGTTCGTCGATTAAAAGCTTTCAATTTCACATTTTAATAATAAGAAAAAAAATTTAAAAAAAATGAATGAAACTTAAAATTTACAATTTTTAAAAATCTTCAAATTTTATATGACTTCCCTTTATATTTGAATATCTATTAAATTTTAATAGATATATATTGTGTATGTAAAATTTCTTATAATATCTGATGCAACATTCTTATTAATTCTTTTAAAATAATGTTGAAAATTTTCCGCTACTTCCACAACTTTCGCCCCGTAAATAGCACACCCTCGCCCCATTTAAAACATATGCCAATATTCCGGTAGAGTTTTTTTCTTTCATATTATAATTCTAAATTGGCTTAAATATTTCAAATTGATTTTCTCCCAATCTGCTCAAGGGCACCAGCCAGTTTTTTTTATATAATATTTGCTTTTTTCGTATTTTGCAAACAGTTAATTCACCAAAGTTGCTTAATTATTTTGATATTTAATTTATCATTGCTGCACATGTTCATATACTCGTACACCAGAAATTTAACCTTTACTAGGGTCGTACTTGAAGCTTAACAAGCTATTAACCAAAACTTCTTTTTTACGGTCGTAGACACCGCTTATGCGTTTATATCCAAATTAACAACAGCTTCGCCACTGCCTCTTGATCAACTCGTTCCTCCACCTACTGCGGTATTCGTCGTTCTCAACGCGCAGAGGATCATAAATTCTACGCAACCCCTTTCCTTCAGGGAATTCTAAGCGCCGACTCATCACCGCTCTTGCTTCCTACCATATAGAGGGACGGGAATGATGCGTTTTGTAGAGTTAGGTCTTTGTTTGTCAAGAGAGGACTGTACTTTTAAACTGCCTACTCAGTTCAAAGTGGCGCCTATTGGCAAGAGTGATTCTGTGCTGGATTTTCAGACTTCCATTATTTTGGTGTTAATACTGGTTCCTTGAAAGACGAAATTGTCTATGACTACTAAGCTATGAATGTCAACAGTTTTCGTAGAATTTGCGCAGTGTGAATATCTGACCAATGGTGGATTTACCAGGTCTAAATCCACACTGATAAGGTGCAATCAGTTTGATTAAAGTAATCTTTAGTTTTTCAGATATTGAGGAAGCTTATAACGCTGTAAATGGCGCAGACTGTGGAATCTCCTTTTTTATGGATTGGGCAGAGCACATTTAAATTCCATTCGTTGGACTTGCCTTCGTACCAACATATTCTATTAATAAAGAAGCTGATGCGTGCATCTTATTAATATATATATAATTATATATCTTTAGCGCTTTGTAACCGCTGAAACGATTTTTCGACCGAGCTCCTCCTCAAATTTGAGGTTTTGCGTCTTGATGTTTTTCCAACAAATGGAACGACCTATAGTTTATATTAAGCCGCCTCCGAACGGCTTATGGTTTTTCATGAGGAGTCTTTATTTCATATCCAAAATATCCGAATGTCAGTACGCATGGCTAACTATTCCCCTACCGCGACGGCATCTATTAATAAAATATAATTTCAGTCTTGTTTGGAATCTATTTTCTCTTTCTTGTGGCGACAGATATAAAATTTTGATAAATTTAATTCTGCCATAATAAGTAATAGTGGCTCTAAGAAAGCAAAGCCCTGATTAGAGAGCCTTAATTTTTACTACTTTAACTCTCTTTTCCAATGTTCCTAGGAACGAGACATAGCTTACTCAACATGATCCTGCCAGCAAGCGTCAAATTGCCAAATGATAGGTATGAGATGATTTGCTATCGATGTAAAGTCTTTTTGAGCAATCGAAAATAAAATCTTTGTTTACTCGTGTATATTATTAAGTAGGCATTTTTTACGAAGCATTTCTTTTAATTAACTTTAAAAAATGATGTAGTTTTACTTTTTTTAGACAGAGGATTATAAGTGTATGTATGAAAGCAGGGACGCTTAGCTGATTTTCATGAACCTATCTTACTCTTTTGATTATCAGAACGTTCAACTCAATGTCTTTCGTTACATCGCCAATCGGTCAATGATCTGAATTTGCTCCATTCAAGCTTCTTCTCGAGGAATTTCTCTCAACTTTTCATCGAATTGAATAGCGCAGTAAGAGAAATTCATAATATTTATCGTAGATTAAGGCCGAGATACCCTAATAGCTGCAATGTAAATATGTATACAAAATTCTTACTTTAATATACATATATATATACATACATGTACACATAATTATGTATGCATTTTTTAAGAATTAAAAGCGCAGCTGGGAAAACACAGATATGCAAATCTATATGCTCACATAAGAGAAGTCAAAGCGAAGTGAGAACGCAAAAGTCGACAAAACCTCACTTATGCATACTGATATGTATGTACATATGTATCAAAGAAAACCAGTATTTTATTAAAAGCAACATTACTTATCAGCCGGCTAAAAGTGTATGACCACAATCGGCTTTCTTGCAGAGTTAAGTTGTAAGCAGTGCGGTCAAGTTTGTCTGTCCGGTGAATGAACGCTCAAGTGAAATAAAATAAATAATATAATAATTCATATAGAAATATAATTACAGAAGATTTTCTTTCACTGATTGACTGAAAAACATTTGAAAATGAGTGAACAGAAATATTTACATTTAAACGATGGCTCGAGAATGCCAATAGTCGGATATGGCACTTGGATGGTAATAAATAAATATATACAATAAACTTTATTTTATACTGTACAAAAATTTTTATATCGCATTATTATGTACATAAATTTTAAATTTTAAGTCATTAGAAAAAGAAATAAGATAATGAATTCTAAAAATCAAATAAAATGAAAATACCAACAAAATAAATAAAATAAAGGACAGTGAAACGAAAAACAAAGTGAAATTAAAAAAAAAATAATATACAACTAATTAAAATAAAATAAAAAAATACAAATAAAAATAAAATAAAACAAAAAATAAAGTTAAAATAAAATAAAATAAAATGAAACAAACCAAAATAAAAAAAAAAATAATATAAAACAAAGCAAAGCAAGATAAAATTAAACTAAATTAAAGTAAACTAATTAAATTTTATTTTCGTAAAGCAAAATAAAATAATACAAAATAAAATAAAAAATAAATTAATTGAAATAAAATAAAATAAAACAAAACAAAACCAAATAAATAAAAATAAAAATAAAAATAAACTAAAGTAAATTAAATAAAATAAAATACACTAAAATAAAACACAATAAAACAAATTAAATAAGTTAAAATAAATTTTAATGAAATTAAATTACATGATATAAACTAGAACAAAATAAAATAAAATAAAATAATATTAAATACAATAAACATAAACTAAAATAAATTCAAGTCAAACAAAATAGAAGAAAACTAAATTAAACAAAATGAAATCCAATAAACGAAATTGAAGTAAAATAAAATAAAATTAGATTAGAGTAAGTAATATAAAGCAAAATAAAATAATATTAAGTGAAATAAAATAAAGTATAACCAAATGAAAATGAAATTAAATGGAATTAAATTAAATTAAATAAAACAAAATAAAATAATAAAACTGAATTCAATTAAATTAAATTAAAAAAATGGAAAAAATAAAAGAATTAAAATAAAATAAAATAAATTAAATTAAATTAAGTAAAATAAAACAAAATAAAATAAATTACAGTANAAAATAAAATAAAAAAAATTAAAATAAAATAAAGTTAATTAAATTAAATTAAATTAAATTAAATTAAATATAATAAATTGAATATAAATTAAAATTAAATTAAATTGTATACAATTAAATTAGATTAAACTACATTGAACAATATAAAATAAAATAAAATGTACTTAATTAAAATAAAACAATATCAATAAATCAAAGCAAATTAAAAAAACAAATGAATTGAAATTTTTTTGTTTGCTACAAGTGTCATACTTAAGCTTCATTGTCAAAAAAAAACCATAAGAACTGAAGAAGACAAGCTTGACTAAAATACAGACAATGACCAACTTCCCAATTGGGACGCCGTAGTTTATTCTTAATTAAAAATATCACTTTTAAAAAGGGAGTATCCTCTTTTTATTAATATACAAATATAAGTATATTTTTGAGGGTATATGTGCTTGTATGTACCATATTCAAGGCAAAAAATGAAATAGTAATAGCAAAGAATACGCCTCTATGCGTAAACTTTCTTTCTCACCTTCAAAAGTTTTTATTTGTTTATTTAAGTGGAAATGTTTAGATGTAAATACAAATTTGTGATTAATAGATATGAGCAATGTCCTTTGACATTCATACTCGTATTAACATATTTACTTTTATTAAGTTTCATGGTAAACTGAAAAGAACTTAAACGTTGGGCTCAAGAAACCAGTAAAATATCTGTGTGATATAAAAAACGGCTTAAATAATTTATTTATCGAATACTAGAATGTACTCGTATTTGTATAATAAATGTATGTATACGCATTGGCGGCCGCGGTAGCCGAGCGGAGGTGGTCCGGGTTCAAAGCCTGGTACCACCAACATCCAAAAGTTATAGAAAATTAATTTAAATAAAAAATTAAGTTACATTTTGTAATTGCGGTCGGCAGGGAATGTCAACTCCTCCGAGGGTATTTCTGACATGAAAATCAAAGCTCCTCATATAAAAACCATCAGCCGTTCGGAGGCGGCTTGGTATAAACTGTAGGTACCTTCATTTGTTGGTAAAACATCAAGACGCATACCACAAATTGGAGGAAAAGTTCGGCCTAAAAACTCTTCAGCGGTTACAAAGCGCCAATTATATATATACGAGTAAATAGATATATATGCGTGTTTATACAACAGCTATACAATGGAAATTAAATCAGTACAAAATATACTGGTTAAGTCAGCAGTGAATAAAACAATTAACTCATTCAATTTCTGCTTTTGGTTGTCATCTATATTCGCATGCCATTATCAACTGAAATTTTCACTCAAAAGAATTGTCACATAAATATAAAATGCTTTCAACAATTTACACGTTTCCTTATTAAACCGGTTAGCGGTTTTTGTTTACATTTTGCTTACACATACATATCTATACATACTGCTTTCACTTTGCATGCAACTTTTTGGATGCTGTGCCAGTTTTGGATAACAATAAGTCAAAAAAGTCTCCACATTCTTGTTTTTAAACGTTGGTCTTCCACTTTTCGGATTTATAAAATGTCTGTGCATATGTACATACATATATAAATAGGTGCTTAAATGACATTTTAGGTGAGAAAAGCCGGACGGTCCGTAACCGTGCAACAAAATAAAAAGTGTCTACTCTCCGTAACGCATGATTAAGCATTTTCTATGTAAATATCACGTTTCACTTAATTATTTTCATTGTGCTTAATAATAACATACAACGGTTATGAAATTTTGATTTTCAGAATATTATATTGTTATACATATATGTATGTATTTAGGAAATATGTATTTGTAAAATTTTTTCTATTTCATCATTCCATTCCAGCTTATATTAATTTAATATTTGTAACCATCCATCAAGCCACGCAATGGATGCCAGATTTTCTTCTAAATGGTCAATAGCTTCTAGTATAATTTTGAACTTCTCATGTCAGAAATGCAACCTGATGCGCCCCGCAATTAAGAAAATTATAACTTTTTAATTCAAATTCTACAATACAATTTTGGATGTTGTTCAGGCCGTGAATCTCGCACTGCTAACCGCTCTGCTTTTGTGATCTCATTAACAAATAAACCAGTATTACACTGGCATTAAGGTGATATCTATATATCTGACGCTTTGTAACGGCTTAAGCGACTCTCGGCCGAGCTCCTCCTTTAATTTGTAGCTTTGCGTCTTGATGTTTTTTTCCAACAAATGGAGGGACCTACGGTTTATACTAAGCCGCACCGGAACGGCTGATTGTTTTTATGAGGAGCTTTGATTTTCATCTCAGAAATACACTTGGAGAGGTTGATATTCCCTGCCGAGGGCAACCATAATTAGAAAATTTAACTTAAATTTTTGTTTAAATTAATTTTCTACAAGTTTTTGGAAGTTAGTCCGACACCAAGATTTGAACCCGAGTCTTCCGATGGCAGTACGCAATGCTAACCACACGGCTATCGCGACCGCCTAGGTGATAAATACTCTATACATACATACGTACTTGTCACCAGAATTACAGATGAATTAGTCGGTGCAACAGTAGTAACATTTTTGGGCACAATTGGTAAATTTTCCTACGACATGCTTAAAAGAAATCTATCCGAGAGCCAATAATTATCAACCAACTCAGTCTATGATAATTGCAATATTTACAATAAATTTTGAGTTAGATATATATATGTATGTATATTTCCTTAGAAATGTGGTATACAAGTAGAAATAAACGCATATAATTTAATATCATTGCTGACCGCTGTGACTTGCTCGAATAAAATCGAATTTTCCACACCTTTTTACCGCAATTGGGACCATATGTCAGCAGTAATGCGCTGAATATTCTCTTTCAAAGCCTGTCTTTTGCTGATCCAACAAGAAAAAAGACTTCACATAATCCCATAAAAAAAGGCCAGCGCATTTAAATCGCACCATCTTGGAGGCTACGCCAATAGTTTTCTTCAATAAATTGGTTATTTCGTTGGCTGCATGTATGATAAGTGATTCCGTCTTATTGGAGCCAAAATCCCTTCAGATCAACATTCTCCAATTCACCCGCCATGGCTCTATAATGTCATGGCTCTATAGTGTTTTGATTGATTGTCAAAATATTATGGCCGACTTCATTTTTGCAGAAATGTGGAAACAGTGAGTGGTGGATTATCCTCACTCTAATTTGAAAAATTTTGCTTATTAACGTACCCATTCAATCAAAAATGAGCTTTATCGAATATTGGATGCGCCATACAAGTATTGCATCATTGAAAACCGTCCACCACCACCGTCCGCACCAATTATCAGAACGAGAATCCAAAAAAGCGTATGTTTGGAAAGAGAAATTTTGCGTTGGATTTGAAGGCCAACATTGTTGGTGACGTTATTCCTGGTACTCAGATAGTCGAAAATATCCATGACTTCAACAGTTCCCATATTGGCGTAGGGGCAACTCTTATTCGCGCCATCGAAGGAAACTTTATCGACGAAAATGTGCTGTGTGTGGATCCTTTTCCAACGAGTGTTTTCTAAGATTTGCCGCATAGTGAATATCTGGTCAATTGTAGATTTGTGAGGTTTAATCGGAGGCTTCGTTTTTGGTGGTCTAGTATACAAGTATGCAAAATAGAATCAAAATGTGTTCATTTTATCCCATTTGAGTGTGAAGTCGTAATTGTTCGGTTTAGCGCTAATTGTGCACTTTTGGCGGTTTTATGACCCGAACTTTAAGCCCCTGAAGCATTCAACACGGCAAATCTTGAACATTTTTGGATTTTAGTTTTATGGTACTGTCTCAGACCATATATTTTTGGGAAGATATAAAAAAATTACAACAACAACCGTGGGCAGTAGAAATTATAGCTGGTATTTCGGAAACCACCTCGTTTCCAGACACCTTTGTTCGAATTGGATTTTTTTGTTTTTATGTGAAATTGAAATTCACGTAGTGACTTTCTTTCAAGCCTCAACATCAGAAGCGGTATTTTAGTCATTCATCTTCAAATCTCTAGAACAGATCCGTCGGTGGTCAACTTGTCTGAAATCTTGCGGCTTGAACATTATCATGCGCAGTCACCAATAACATACTCTTGTTCTGGTTGGAAAAGACGGTCAAAAACTCAAAACCATACTAATCGTTACTGTTATTTATTTTAATCCTCGATCCTTTTCGCATTAATTTAATATTATTATTTTTTTTAACAACGCAGGCCAGTGAAGAGGAAATAACCTTTGCTGTAAATGAAGCACTCAAAGTGGGCTATCGTCATATTGATACGGCACCAGTGTACTTAAATGAAAAGGCTATTGGTAATGTGTTGAGTAAATGGATTTCTTCGGGTAAAGTTAAACGATCCGATCTCTTCATCACTACGAAACTACCACCACCAGGTACATACATAATATGTCCATAGGAAACACACGCAAAATATTAAATTCAACTTCCTAAATGAAATTTCTACTTTAGGTGCCGACAGACTCGACTTAGTTGAGTTGACATTAAGAAATTCGCTGGCAGATCTACAACTGGATTATGTCGATTTGTATTTAATACACACCCCCTTTACAGTGGTGCTGCAGGAAAATGGTGAGTTTAAACGTTATGAAGACGGCACCATTGAGGTTGATCCCAGTACCGATCACGTAGCTGTTTGGAAGGTGAGTTTCTCGACTAGTCGAACGTAAACTGTATTGCGTACTACTTACAGACCCCTAATTGCAGGAAATGGAAGGTCTCGTCGCTAAAGGCTTGGCCAAATCCATTGGTATTTCAAACTTTAAGGAACAACAAATTGAACGGATCCGGCAGAACTGTACTATTCAGCCAGCCGTGTTGCAGGTGCATAATTTTTTTTAAAGTTTCCTAGATTATTTGTAGTGATTAACCTACTTCATGTGCATTAATGATCCCCACAGATTGAGTACCACATCTACTTGCAACAACCACACTTGATAGAATATTGCAAATCGGCAAATATTGCCGTCACGGCCTATTCACCACTCGGTTCCAAGGGTGTAAGCGGCCTAAATAAAATGGCCGGTGTAGAGCGTGAGCTGCCCGATTTGCTGGACGTGCCAGTAGTGAAGGAGATCGCACAGAAATATAATAAAAGCGAGGCCCAAGTGCTCCTACGTTGGATTGTACAAAAGGGTATAGCGGTAATACCGAAGAGTACCAATGCCAAGCGCATGCGTGAAAATAAGGATATTTTCGATTTCAAATTGGATGTTGATGAAGTTGAACAGCTCAACAGTTTGGATGCAAATGTGCGTGTGGTGAATTTCTCATTTTTCAGAGGGTGAGTAGAAAACTTATAAAAAAAGATACCTACTCAAAGTTATTTAATTATTTCTAGTGTTGAGAAACATCCGGAATTCCCATTTTAAGCTACTATTGAATTTTGAACGAACAGAAAGCAAGTGGTTTACTTAAATAATATATATTGCAATATCTATCGGTTAATGTAAAATGTTTCACACAGATTTCATCTAATAGTGTATACACCTAAAGTAGTTTAAAAGCCATTAATAAACACATTATTTATTCGCTTCTGCAGCAGGCACAAAAGTCGTCGTTATTATTTTAAGTTCCATAGGTTGTGGTTTTATTGTTGTGGTGAGTTCGTTACTTTTTGATAAATTGATCAGTTCCGCTCCAGCTCCATTAGCATTTTCGATCTCTATTGTCTGTAGCACTTTGTTGCTCGCCTCTGCCATTTTGACAGCTGTTTCTTTTACGGTTTCATTGGTCAAGGGTACGCTGCTGGAGGCCTCATCACTACTGCTTCTGCTGCTGCTGTATAAAACAATTTTACGAATTATTGCTATAATCACCGAGCAAAAGCTGTTAGGATATTTAATGCTCAGTTGTACTGCTTCGCCCTTGAAACTGAGTTGGTAGTAGTTAAGAGCTTTTTCAAAACCTTTTTGAGTTGCAAACAAATATGTTTGTTAATCCAAAATATATTTTTATTGTATAATATTTTAATACAACATTAGAAAAAATACGAAACGAAACATGTAAAATGCAAGCTAGATTCAAGCAATATACATAAGTATTAAATGAGGAAGGTTACTTAACAAAATTTCAATTATTTATTGGATAAGAAATTTCAATTTTCAAACTTTTATTTATTGGATAAGAAATTTTTAACGGTTTTGGATATTTTTCACAACTCATTTTTATCTTTTCTATTTGCTTGGTTTATTGTTTAATATAATTTAATTCTACTCATTTCATATTGTCTTTTGAAAATTTATTTTTATTAATAAAATAAATATTTTTTTTTTTTAAGTTTAGTTATTTTATTTTTTGTATTCAATATTATTTCTTTATATTTTATTTATGTTTTATTATTATTTTTATTATTATGTTTTATATATTTACATTTTTTTACATATTTAGTATATTATATTATTTTTTTTATACGTCATATTTTATTTTTTTTTTATCATTTATGTTACTTTTGTATATATTTTATTTTATATCTTTTTTGATTTATTTTAATTTATATTATTCGAATATCTTTTATTTTATTATTCGATCTTGTTACATTTTGAAATTAATTAATTTTTTTTTAATTTACACGTTTTTTATTCAAAACATTTTCATTCATTTTATTGTTTATTATATTTTAAATTATTTGAATTTTTTTGTTTACTCACTTTTTAGAAATCTGTTTGTCTAAAAAAGACAGGCATAAAATTAAGATAATTCTTTTAAACTTTAAGAATAACTAAATCTTATTACTTTGAAAAAAAAGGGTTAATAAAAAAGTTTTAGTAAGACACGGTACTTTGAAGAAATTTCAAAAATTCAAAACTTATGAAAACTTCCACTTAGCTTATGACTTTTATAAAGCAAATATAATAGAAAATCTAGCGCGATGCAATATAAAAAATATAATATAATTTTTGGGCGGATATAAATTCGATTACCACAAAGTGTTATTTAATATAAAAATTATATAATATATTAAATGCTATTTATATAGTTGTTATTTTTTTTAACATCGTACGTATTTTTGATTTGATTGTAAAGTTCGTTTATTTCATAGTTACATACATACATTAGGAATGCAGGAAAAATATATATATATTTATATTTCAATATGCCCTCATTTTATGTACATTTATAAAATATAACAAATAACATTTTGCAGACATTAGTTAAGAATCTCTAAATATTTTTTTATCAAACAATTCGAGGTAGTTTCGCCAATTGTGTTAAATTTCAAACAAAAATCCAACAAGATTTGTCGATCCTTTGCGATTAGATCAGCTTATAATAAATAAATTCATACATGCTGGCTAATACATATAACTATAGTACTATGTTAAGTGTTAGTCATAAAGGGAGTGCCTTCGTAAGCTGAAAATATAACGAAATAATAATAAGAAAAATTTTGAAACTTTAAAGAGCCAAAAATTAGTAAATGAGTTGGTTTCACACACGCTAATGAATTATTTAATACCAAAGAGATTTACAATAAATTTCTATAAATGAATATCTGCTTTGGTTCTTTTTTTTTTTTTGTTGAACTCAGCAAGTATGGTTGTTAGCCCTTTATCCAATGACGTAGCGCGAATTTACTAACTGTTATGAGCAGTTAATGTAATAATAATCCTTCGCGTGTATTAGCACTAGCATATAAATGTAATAAAAGCAGCAAGTTTGGTATTAAGTTGCGATGTATAGTTATTTGCGTTAAATGTTGGCGTTATTTGGAGTGTGTCAATGCATTTTTATAGCAACTCACGTCGCATGTGTGTCTTCTTCGGAACTGCGTCTACAAAGACATTTTTGTTTGTCATTTTAATTGAATAAAAAAAACTATTAACTCACCTTGGCTCTTCGTTGGCACGCATGGCTACTGCTGCCACTTCAAAGAGGCCAATGAAGAAGCAAAGCATTAATGGACCAAAAATAGCTCCCTGCCAACCTATCCAATACATGCCACCCGCAATTGCCAAACCAGTCAAATATGGATGTCCGCCGCTGTGGAAATGAAAAAAATCATAAAGAAAAATTAAAAATAAAGTTAATATAAAAAATACGACTTTATATAGATTCAAAGCGAAGACTAAGCACGCACCCTTTCATCTCTGCGTAAATAGCCGCTTCAAAATATGGTGGCACGAAGAATTGCAGTAGAAATAGCACAAGTCCTGCATAGAAACGATCCTGCGCCAGCCACAACTCCAACAAAGCGGGCAACGCACACCAATAGCTGCCTAGGAAAGGTGCAGCCGACAAAATGGCAGCCAACGCTGATGGCAGGAAGACAATACGTGCTCCAAAAACTGTGTGCACTAGCCAGGTGAAGAGGCCGGTAAAGATGGAACACTTAAACATGGAAATCAAAACGCCCGAAATGGAGTTCTCTAAAGCATCGGCGATTTTAGAGCCGGAACTAGAGAAACCCAAGTATTTGGTGACATGCAGCGGCGCATATTTCGTATTGCTGCTCGAGAGCAAATAAAATAAAGCAGTAAAGAAGACAATCTGAATAAAGAAAAAACCCATTAAACAGTTATTTTAACAACATTCATATATAAAATAACTCACCATATCAAGTATAAACTCAACACAAGCTTGGCCACCCGACAGCAAAAGCGATAGTATTTCACCCGTAAAACTCATGATCATAGAGAGATTCGTACGTATGATATGCCACAGAGATTCAGCTACTTCCAATATTGTTTGCGTATTGCTCTTCGCCCAGCCGATGATGCCCTGTTTGGCCACTAAAACTAGCTCTTTAAAATGTCCTTTATTAAAAACACATTGCAATTGGTTAGCTTTGAAACATGCAGTGAGCCATGAGAAAGTACAAAGAGGGGGGGAACGAACCAAACAAAGAAACGCCAAATTTTACACATTCTACAATTGCGACACACACAATTGCACATACATATATGGAGATATGTTATAACAATTATGTAGGTGTATGCTCATTCGAAGATGTCGTTAAAAATTCGCAGAAACCTTTGCGCACTTCATTTTCTAGATTTCTTGGGTATTTGGATACACAAGCCAAATCGTATATGTGTACTTACTTATTGAAATGGCTTATTATTTTTATGTGAAGCTTCTTTAGAAATTCCAAAATGTTAAGGCAGTATACAGCAGAAGTCATATGCACAATGCCCATTGCACATTGCTTAATAGAAAATTATTTAAATATTTATTATTAATAAATAAAGAATTCTCTTATTTTATTTTCTTACTTTTGAATGGCAATTAGAGAATAGTTAGTGATAAGGGATTCATTATTTGACTTGAAGGAGGATTTATGTACGATTATTAAATTTTAGAAAACACGCATATATCAACCAATTTGTTGAAATAATTGAGATTAGTTATTGAAACTCATGAATTTATGTTTGATTGCAGTCATTGTAGTTTAACAAATCGCACCCTCAACCGAAAGTATTGTTATTTTTATACATTATTGCATAACATGATTTGGTTAGTGATGTAAATTTGCAATGTGTTAAATAAATATTTATCACTTTACTTATAATCTATATTGATTATTATTGCTTGCAAATTTAAAGTGGGTTAGGAAGACAATCACAAATGACAGCACTTGCATGACGGTCGTTTACTGCTTACCTGGGTTATCAACTATTTCTCCGAAAGTCGTTTTCAATGCATCAGTCGGCACTCGTGGCCCATAGGTGGAGTCAGATTTGTTGACATCTATCCAATATTGTATCAAACGATCCCAAACATCTAAAATTTGTTCTTTCAATTTAGTTGCATGCACTGAGTCCGCTTCCGCGAGCCAATCATCTATGTAGGTTTCAATTTTTCGTCGCCCATAATGATGAGCATTATCCAAAGCATCATCAATAGAAGATTGTATATTCTGGGGTAATATATCGATCAACTCAGGACGATCCGTGATTGTTTTATTAATAAGATCTTTGCCCAGGTAAGCAACTTCAATTGTTTCTGAGTAGATATTGACACAGAAAAATACGCCAAGGAACACAATTATTAAAAGCATAAGAATGATCATTAGAATGGAAGTGACTAAATCGACGGACGATTTTAATGAATTACGTATTATGGCGTTTATTTTGTAATTTAATTCCAGCACACCGGGTAGGCATAGCGGCAAAACGGCAGAGTGATGTTCAATAGCCCAGCTCTAGACGGTAAATAATTAAATAATGGACAATTTATTTAAGGGAAGTTTTTCTTACCTTTAACTGGTCGTAGGCTTCATTTATTTTGCCATAAATAAACGCCGTGAAACCCGTCACGTTGCCCAACGTATAAAGCAAATGCAGTGAAATTGGTATTGCAGCCAGTATGAACATCCACACATTGCGATATAAAAATGTTGCTATGCATGCATAAAATAAGCATCTGAAGTAAATATCACTTAAGTGTTGCCCCTCATTCTCGTCAAACAAATCAGTGTTTTCCAAGGAATCTATAGTGTCGCTCAACGATATATCTTCAGCATCGGAATGCAGACTTTGCTTTTTTATACTGACATTGTTAACGGATTTTTCAAAATCTGTTTTGTCTAATAATTTTTTCAATTTATCAATGCAACTGCTCGAATCTTCAGCTGTGCGCATATGATAAATAATTGATATACCCACATACAGCATTATTAAAATGAACACGGGTACTTGAAGTGCGCCTAAAAAGCTGCAACCATAACTAACTACAGCAATCCATAGAGATTGACCAGCCATTACAAACTTAGTGCTATTCTCCGGCTTCCACAAAATATATACGGACGACAAGTAGATCGCAATTATTGCAATTAACTGTGGAAATTAAGTAATTAATGTTGTTGTTGTTGTTGTTGTTGATGCAAACACTTTTTTATTTACTTACCATGTAAATATTCAGAAAGCCAATCAATTGTATCAAAGTGCTATGCGAAAATACAATAAAACGCCATACTGCACAAAGAAAGCCTTTGGGCGCATAAAGCACTAGTAATTTGATACATGTAGCGACACCAACACCAGCCGTCAACAATTGCCAGTGTTCACGTACCCAACTCACTACCAAACTGCCACAGTATTCGGTTGCTTCGAGTGGAGCCAAGCAAATCGATACCATAACATTAGAATCTCGTTCTTCCAAGCGTTCAAACCAACCATTTAGTAATTGCGCTAAATGTCTTTTGAAAGGAAACAGCACTGCTCCCATGAGAAAAGCCCAGAGTAATGGGCGCACAAAGGGACCCAAAATGAAGCAAACGGCGACAAATGCTGCAATGCCAGCGGCAATTAAAAAGTTGTACATAGCCGCCTTAAAGGTTTCATGATTCTGGGAGCGCATACGCATCAACTTGTTAAGAACACTGTCGAAGGAGCGGTCCCGTCGAATAGAGTCGGAGCGATTCATTTTGCAACGTTGTATGCTATGTCTCGATACCCGTCATTCAATTTTAGGCTGTAACAAAGAGAAATTTATGAACTTTACATTGGATATAATTGTAACATGCAACACCCGTATACATAATTATAGTTTTAAAAGATAGTTTAATGTGTGATCTGAAATTGTTCTATTAACATACACATATTTACTTACATTCATCTAAAAATAGATATATGTGCCGTAAAAGGTGGCTGATTCAAAGATGATGACGTTATGCCTTGAGGCCACACCTAAAACAGGCACACTGATATAAATGTATCACTGTAGGAATCCTTGAAGCTAAGAAATTTGTTTTACTTTGAACCAAAAACTCTATAAATTATTTGGAATATATTTTCAAATGAATTGAATGTCGAACCGATGACGTCAGTCGATTGAATTATATTTGGATCATCAGATTGGGATAAACATTTATTCACTTTCCATTTTTATTAATAACTTACTTATTTCAGTTTTAGGAAAGCAGTCTGTTGATATTTTAGCACATCCGGCTTCATACGAGCAGTGTAATTATTTAAAGCATAATTTATTTTCCATCCAGCAACAAATCTCGTCAATAATCAACTTGTTTTGACGGTATTTTATTTTGTTTCCATTATTTATCATGAATATGCTTAAGAGGTATTCAGGGCTGCCCACCTACAGTGTTGCTTATATTGGCTTAAATAATTTTAGCGTTGTCAGAGATGTACTTTTTTCTTAAAGATTTCATCCATTCTGAATTTGGTTTTACAAAAATCAACGAATCTCTTGACTGCTGAAAACAACCTGACCTCCCGCAATAATCCCTGACAATATATTTAGAAAACAGCACCAACAATCAAATTCTAACCAACTCTCATAATATTCCTCTCTCCACATCTGAGATGAATTGATATTTGGTTAGAAAATTACGGTATTCGAAACTACAAAACCACGTTATCAGGCTGTGGAGAATGGGGTATCAAGAGAGTCCACGTTAGGCCACATGAAGTGGAGAAAAGTCCTCTATGGCTTGAAAAAAAAAGCGACCGCAATAACTTAGTAAAATTTTATATAAATATGTGACTTGTAAAATTTCTGATTTAATAAGACTTAAGTAAACTTTTGTTCGGCAACTCTAACAGCTGATTTTAGGACTTGGCTATGATAGCTGATTGTTATTATTTGAGATTCCTATTCGAGTTGAGATTTCAGCCTTTAATTTAGTTTACCTTTTATTAGATCTGCTATAGTGAACATAGTAAAAAATTATACATACATATATGCTAACACGACGAACTTCGAATTTCATTTGTCTCCGACACATGAAATTAATATTGAGTAATCGGTTTTCTATTGCTCTCATATGGATTAATTAATCAGCACTAATCTGTTTCGTCGGCACTTTAAAATAATTACGGCACTTGAGTTTTTCTTAAAAGTTGTGTATTTATTTATAAGAACAATAAATTAAAGTAAATTTAAAATTATGAAGATTTTCGTGCACGTAGTGCTGGTGCTGCTAATTGTGCAAATGCACTTGGCCATTGGAGATAGAAAGCAAACAAAGAAGTATTCTCGTGAGGCTAATGAGCAAGAGTATGCAAAGCAAAAACAACACAAATCAAAACCGAAATCTGATCAAGGCGAATCGAAGCTTACAACGGAACGCTATGACCCTGATTTCCGTAATCTTCAAAGACCTTTTAGAATGGCCAAACTAAATTTAGTGTGGGCTAAAGCGCAAAATGTAAGTTAATTTAATATTATATGAGGCTTACTAAATTAAGTGTTATAACAGAGATTGACTGAACCAAAGCTGAAGTCCTTATACATGGAACTTAAGATACAAGATAAAGAAGAGATAGCATGGAAGCAATTAAGTTCGCTACACAAAGATAAAGAAGGTATAAAGGAAGCTGAATTGCGTCAAAAACTAGTTGGTATTATGAGTACGTATGATTTACTTGAACATTTCGAAGATACACAAGATAGTGATAAGATCAAACCGTATAAGGTGAGAAAGATTCACATTATGTCTGCACCACATTTTTTATATGTTAATTTTTTATACTAACATTTTAGAAATTCCATGATCCAGACGACAGTTATTTAAATAAAAGCGCATTTAAGGACAAAAAATTAAATCGTCTTTGGGAAAAAGCAGAAGTGTCTGGATTCACCAAGGAAGAACTTGATTCGCTTAAGGAAGAGTTTCAACATCATCAGGATAAGGTAGATGTCTATTACAGTTTATTGGAAGAAATAGGGTCCTCTAATACAAAGAATCATGAAAGTAAGTGCTAACAAAATTTGTATAAATTAAAGCCAATGACTTTCTTATTATCCTATCGAAGATGCTATAAATGAAGATGAGATCGACACTTTCAATATGGTTTCAAATGATCCCAATGACAATGAAATTGATACACCACAAATGAATTTAAAAAAATTCGAAAGTGAAATCAATCAACTTCGAGATCATCATAACGGCATTAAAGATCATTATGAACGTCTTGAACGTTTGATTTCATCAGGACCTCATAGTCAAGAGTTTATAGAACCAAAAGTACAAGGCTTATGGCGCGTTGCACAAGCCAGTAATTTTACTGAAAAGGAACTAAGTTCTATCAAATACGAGTTACATCATTTTGAGAGTCGTTTGATCAAATTACGCAATTTGCATGTAGAGCATGCGATGCAAAAAGAAAAATACAAGGTAAACAAGCCTAAGATCTATTCAAATTAACTATGTAATCAAATATAATATTACAGAATGAAAAGCACAAGGATAAAAGTGGACGTTTTGAAGATATGGAAGATCATATAAAAAAGCAAACCCGCAAAGTTGAAAAGATACAAGATACAATCGAAAATACAATCTTCAGACATTCAGAGTTGTAGAACCGTCTAAGGGTTTTCATTTAAATATTTTGTAAATCAACTTCGAATACTATTTAGTTTAATAATTAAGTAAAATGATGCCAAATTTGCGTGTAACATATGTATATTTAATATCCTTAGGTTTGTATCTACGTATTTACATATGAAAAATGTTCATGAAAATTTTGATACTTTTGAAAACATTTCATCTCTAACGGGTTTTGAAAAATAAAATAATAACATAAAAGAAAAAGTTTGTTTTATTTACTTTTAAATATGGTTTGATATACATATTTCAAAATTTATTTAATTTCTAATACGCGAGAAAACATTTGAAAACATATTTCGATAAAAGAAATGTGAAATTTTTAGGACGAGTAATTTTTGTATAAGAGAAAAAGTCTGCAATTTTTAAAAGTATACCATTATCGTTCGACAAGGACGCTTTTCAGTACCTACTGTAGATATTTTTCCAATTTAAGGACTTCCTTCAGTTATTGGAGAGGTTATTCGTTAAATGTCTTCTAATAAAAAGAAATTTAGCTAATAACCAAATTGACAAAATTTTGAAGAAACCCCGAAACCCTTTTCTACTACTGCACTGGATTGAAATGCAACCCTAAAGTTTATTTGACATTTTATTTTGTGCATGTTATTCGCTTATTATTCGTCATCGTCGTGATTGCAGTTGAAAAATGTGAGATTATATTTATTTAATAGTTTTTCATAATAATACTTATTCAAGTATTTATGAAGTTTGCTAGAAGTGTGTGAAATAAGGAGGTGATTTGGTAATGAATAAAAGTACAGTGGAAAAGTGCTTTATACTGCATAAATAGATGCTAATGGAAATTACACACCTGGGCGCTCCCCATTATGTTACAGTTTGCGTCGCTGTTTTCGTCTCTGCCGACGTCTCAGTTAACGTCTATTGACATATCTGCATTGAATACGTTTTAGGCGACAACACCCGCGAAGAATTTCTTTTGCAGTTTCATGCACACATATGTACATGTGTACATGATATTTTAATAGTAGTGAAATATTATTTTTTTTATTTTTAGCGATATCAAATTATTATTTCTAAACGGTTACCGTATGGTCGGTCATGGCCAGTGAAAACATAATGGACGAATTAGCATCATTAATACGTACGGAAATTCCGGATGGTAGACAAAGTTTGCGCGATAGTTACACGAATTTGGAGCGCGTGGCAGATTATTGTGAAGACACATATTATCGGTAAGAAGCTGTTGTAGTGAGTGATCGTTTCGATAAAGGTATTTACTGGACTTTCATTTCTTCTAGTGAGGAGAACAAGAAAGCGGCACTAGAGGCTACGAAAAACTACACCACACAGTCATTGGCTAGTGTGGCATATCAGATTAATACACTCGCTTATAGTTATATGCAACTCTTAGAGTTGCAAGCACAACAATTATGTGAAATGGAATCGCAAATGAATCATATTGCTCAAACGGTACAGATACACAAAGAAAAGGTTGCCCGACGGTAAGTAACCAAAGTAACAAATTGCTAAAGAAAAACTTACCCAAATATATACATATGCATACATATATAATTTTAAAATAATTTCCTTTGCAGGGAAATTGGTGTTTTAACTGCTAATAAAGTTAGCTCACGTCAATTTAAAATTGTCGCACCCATCAATCCAGAGAAGCCAATCAAATATGTACGCAAACCAATTGACTATTCTATTTTGGACGATATTGGTCATGGTGTCAACTCTACACAAACGCGTCAGCAAAAACATCGTGGTTCCAGTCATGGCTCCATACAATCGCTGGCAACATCTTCGTTAGCGCCTTCTGTTGGCCCACCACCGACTACAAAGCCACCAACACCACCACAAATGACACGCGGTAACACCGGAACTTTGGGCAAGTCTTCGATGAGCAATACCGGTACACTTGGCAAGAGTTCGCGTGAATATCGTACGCCACCAGTTGTGAATCCACCGCAAGTGCCTTCGCACTATGCACCAAACTATCCAATTGGGCATCCAAAACGTATGTCATCGGCTTCTTCAAGCACAACAGTCACTGGCATCAGTAGTATTGGTATGAGTGGGGGTGGCAGCACCACGGGTGCTACAACCGGTGGCGGCAACGAACGCGAACGTGGTGGTGGTTATAGTGCATTGCCAATGCCGCCCAGTCAACAGATAGCAACACATGTCAATTTGCCGTCAGCTGGTATGATGCAATCATTGCCACCACCACCACCAACAACGTACGATGACCGGAGCAGTATGCCACGTGAGTGCTGAATTACGTTGCTATTTAAATGATTATGTTAATTGCTTACTTCTATAATTTTTTGTTTTTAGCGCCACCATCACCACTTACTGTTTCACAACATGAGATTACCGAACAAAGTCACATTGGCATGCATACTTTGGGTAGAAATCATAATAGGTAAGCATTTTTCGTAACCTTTGCATACAAAGCTGAAACTCCGAAAGCTAAAATTTTTCTAAACTCATGTAAAAACAAAATTTATCTCAAAAACTTCGTATAAGCTCTTTCAGTAGAATACTCATTTACATATAAGTACGTATTTCTTTATATCATAATGTCGAGCTCCAGGGTTTAGGATTTTAAAAAAGTTCTGTTTTTAATACGCGCTTATGTATGTATGTATTTGCGCTTAATTTTCCACAGAAGATACTATAATGTTTTTGATTTCACATAAAAAATTTTAAATTTTTCACATATGCGCGTATAAAAAACCAGCAGTAGTACAGTAGTATGATATAATTTTGAAACGAAATTACTAAATTAATTAATTCGTTATCTTACAATTGCTTACTAAAGGAACGGTAACAGGTACAGAAATTTTTTATTTTCTATCGAAAATGAGCCTTTTAAGCTGATTTCAAAAATTTCTGTATCTTTAAAGAAACAATTTCAGTGTGAACTTTGCACGGCCTGGCTCGCAATCGCCACCTCTGCCACCTCCACCACCACCAGAGGAGGAGCATCAGGACTTTGGGCGCCCGCGCACATCAACTGGGCAAGGACAGTTAGCACCGATTGTGCCGGAAGATCAAAATTTACCCGGTTGGGTACCAAAGAATTACATCGAAAAGGGTATACACTCCGAATACCTTACAGAAATGTCATATAAATTCATACAAACTTTGTTGCAATTACAGTTGTCGCAATTTACGATTATTATGCCGATAAAGATGATGAATTGAGTTTTCAAGAAAGTTCGGTGCTATATGTGCTAAAGAAGAACGATGATGGCTGGTGGGAGGGCGTCATGGATGGTGTGACCGGTCTATTTCCCGGCAATTACGTTGAACCGTGTGTGTAAACGTGTACAAGTGAGAAGCGTGTCGAGAGCACTTAGTGATTTTTAACTGGATTTGAAGGAAAAAAAAAATCACATAAGTGCATTTATGTATGTACACTGCCTAAATTGAAGTGTTTATCCGCAAAATGGTAAAGAAAGTATGCACATACATATGTATATACATACAGTCATACGTGCATACATTAAACGACACAAGATATTAGCACTTAATATTATTAGGTGGCATTAAATGTTAAACAATTCCAATTTCAATAGCATTTATATGCGTGGTTTAGAATCAAATAATTAATTAAGTATAAATGTATGTGTCTAATGTGGAATGTATTGTCCTTCGGTAAGAGAAAAGAAAAAGTACTCCTCATGTTGTTTGTAATATGCAAACTGAGACGTAACAAAACGACAAATACCAAAAGGATATGCATTAAACATATGACATTTTATAGCATTTTTTACATTAAAAAAAAGATGAAAAATATATTTGAACCCTATCCACATAAATGAAGCACAGATAACTAAAGTAATGATACATAAATACTAGAGAACAATAATACTTATATACTAGCTGCAATTAACTGAATTAATTCAATTACATACAAACGTATTTTATCAAACTTATAGTATTTGTGAATGAGGCGCTAAAATGCTCGCAACAATTCTTTTTATACGCCTACAACCTTTTATTAATAAATGTCCTTGAATTATAAATACCTATAATCCTGTAATGTATGTAAACCTTCATATATATACGTCTGCGTGTGTTTTCATGTGTAATGAGTAAAGTAAGTGGGATAGCGCAATGTTCCATTAAAAGCAAAAATTGGTTGGTAGGGAATGTCTGATAAACGCATTTAATATGTACAAGCATTTACCGCAAAATAACTGGTTTCTTGAAAAAAAAAAAAAATTCGCACACAGCGCCGAACTATTTTACTTTTATATTTAATTTCAAATATTGGCGTTTTGTGTAAACAAATTATTTGCATAAATGAAATACTTTATTACCTCTTGGTATAGCTTATGCTCAATTATTACAATATATGTATGTATTAATAACATTATTATTTGATTATTGTATTATTATTATTATGTTTTCACAATTCCAGCTGCACAGGTGGTAAGTGTAAATACCAATACTCTTGGTTTAAGAAGCCTTTGTTGCTATGCTTTATAATTTCATTCTAATAAATATATTAGTTAAACGTGAATTTATTAAAAAAAAACAAGATAAATGCAAATGAATATAATATGCATATACAAGTATATCTACGTAAATAAATATGATAAAATAATAACGCATTCGCATATTATTACTATTGTATTAGCTTAGATAATATAAATAATCACAATGGAAATAAATGCTAAATATGAAAAAATATAGTATTAAATTTAGATTCTTTATGTAATTTGACTTGCTTAATATAGAGACGTACATATCCCAGCGTTTTTTGGATGTATAGCTTCTAGTACGATTATTGATCAAGTTTAAATCAAAATACAGTTCGGTAATTCGGAAACGCAGTAGTTGAGTGAGAAAGTTAACATACGCGCTACATACGGAGGATCAACATCCAAAAATCAAAAAAAAAAAAGGAAACACATTTCTAATTATGTTTGTAACAGAAATTTCCTACCACGTTCAAAAAAAGTGTAAGCGGCATAGAAAAAACCCTGATACTGCATTTGCTGGAGATGCATTAAGTCAAAAGCACATCACAAATTACAGGAACTCGGTCGTTAATCTACGTGTGTAAAGCACCAAATATGTATTTATACATGCTTATAAAATTAACCTAATTAAGTAATTGACCTAAGTAATGAATTGAAAGATATGGAAACAAAACATTTTGAATTTCCTGTTGTGCATCAAATAAGGATTTTTCTTTTCATTAATTGAGAAGTGGAATATTATTCAAAAAGTTATATATTTTTCCGTTGAAATGAAACTTTAGGGGCATTGAAAAAAAGGTGCTTACCTTTTTCATATTTTGTGTTTGCGAACGAGTACCATTTTTTAAAATCCAGTTTAAAATAAATGAAGAAGCGGATACATCTGCTTTTCTAAGAATCCTTTTCTTGTGAAGTACCTTATCACAATGTTGAATAGGTTACCGATTTCATTGGTTTTGATGATTTCACAAATCTTTTGTACACTGCCCGTGTTAACAAAGCGGTCGTCCTTTCCAGTTGATCTCATCATGGAAAATGTTTGTACTGTTTGGCATTCACCGTTTCAAATATACAATCAGGGGTGTTAGAGAAACATGTCGGAGTAAGAATTGAAACCGACAAAATTCTGTTGAAAGTGTTACCACACATTCCGATTATTGCTTTGCAAATCAGTTTAAATTTCGAGACGGAATTTGTGTCGATTTTAGTTGTTACAGAAACTGTTTTATCGGTTTAAATGTCACAATTAAATCAAGTCGGCTTCGTAACACTATTTCAAACGGAGCTTGATTTTCAATTCTGATAAATAAGCAATTCTGTGTCGGTTTCCATAACACCTTTGAAATGTATGTTAATCTCTTCAGCTGCTATTATCACTATTTGCCTTAAGGAACCTTCACTAGGATCAGCGTGCAATTGCATAGATTTCACACCCGAATAGAGATGTTTGAGGTTTGATTTCGTCCTCTTGCGGTTGATCTCGCCAACAGTCTTAATTTTTCGTCCTGAAAACTTGTTGAAGGTCTTATTCTAAACATATAAATTGAAATATCAAAATTTATTCTTATTATCTGCATTTGTGCTCTTTTATTGAAAATTTTACATTCATTTATTACATTTGCAAAATTTATTTTAAAATAAATTCATCAACAAAACTTTAATCTCTTTTGTAGAATTCTCTTTTTTCAGATATACATAAATAAAATATCCCTGAGCGAAAACTTATTCAAAAGGGTGTGTGAAGAAAGTTCGAAAATTTTACTAATTTAATTATTGCTCTGAATTTCTTAATTACAAACCCTCAACTGTGTTGTGGGTTTAAGTGTTGTTGGCCGTGTGCTTAACAAGTCGTATTGAGGTGCCGCGGCGAGTAGCAGGCGTAGCAGTGGCTGATAATTTCGGTAAACGCGGATTAACCAGCGGACCCATATGCCGATCGGGACCATCTTGAAAAGCGCTGGGTATTTGACTATCGATTGGTGGCAACGGTGAGCCAGGTGACCATTCAGAACTCGAACTAGAGCCGGGCGATTCGGAGCTGTAAACAGTAAGTGGTAACAAGTGAAGGTGAGTCAAATTTTTAATAAGACCAAAACAGCACAGGAACTTACCCCGCTGTGTAGATGGGCGGTAATTTTCGCTCGGATGAAGTGGCTGGTGTAACAACGCCTGCGTGTATCTCTTGTTGATATAAGCCATAAAGCTCACGCAGCTCGTCAGGCAGCTCAACGTTGCCCTCTTCAATTAAGCGACGTTGCGAGCTTATGATATCCTCACATAAGCGTCGTTGTCGTTCAGCCCGTAGTAGTTGTAGATCACGTCTCCTTAGCTCAGCCTGTCTTGCCAGGCGTTCAGCCTGCAGCGAAACTTTATCTGCTTCTAGCTCGTGCACGCGGCAGAGTAACGCTAAAAGTTCACGTTCTTCATCGCTGGTAATGCGTTCGGGTAGCTCCTGTTGAAAGAGAAGAAATATATAGTTAGAATTAGTTTTGGATTTAAGTTTTGGAATATGCCACGTTAGTACGCACATCCTCTAGCTGTACGCCTTTCTGACGGCACATCTCCAGTTCTTGTTCGGTGCGTTCACGTATCTCTTTGTAACGTCGGGTCTCCTTCTCGATTGCCGAGAGCTCGCCCCAAGCGTTTTTCAAAGCAATTGCGCCTTCAGATTCAATGTCTTTTGAGGAGTCAAAAAATAGCAATTTTCAATAAAGTAAGTAAAACACAGAGGGGGTACGACTACATACCGTCATCGGCTGGAGTGTCGTACAGTTTGCCCATGCGCCCTTGCCAATGTGATATAATCATATGCTGCCGCTCAGCATCCAGCTCCAGGCCTAAAAGATGACTTTCGGCTTCCAGCAATTTGCGTCGCAATTTCATTTGTTGCTTGAACGTGAGTACGATTTGCTCGCGTAGATAACGCAGCTCGGTCTTGCGCTTGTCATCCTCCTCGGTGGTGCGCGCTGGTTGTGCGGCTGCTGCTGCTGCGGCACCACTGCGAGGTCGTTCGGTCAGCATTTTACTACGCAAACGTGTTACTTCCTCACGTAGCTCGGATACGAGATTTTGATAATGTTTCGTGGGAAAGTCTTTGACCTCATCAAGATACACAGAATTCTGCAGACGTGTGGAAATGCTATTCGCGCGATCAGCGTACACAAGTGTATTCTTTGTCTCATCACGATGCTTACCTTCCGGTGCAACATGTGCAATCATAACAGTTTTGCATTTACCACTCAATGCCTCCTTCAGCAGGCGTGTGAGCTTTGAATCACGATAGTTTACATAACGCGCGCCACCCGACAAAGCGTTAATGCAGTTACCCAACGCCAAGAGGCTACGATTGATGTGCGCACCTTCTTGCAAACGTTTGCCGCGATTCTTTGTCTTCTTAGCGCGCTCCGAGCCAGCGAGATCGGTGAGAAAGAGACGACCTTGCTTCGTGCCCAATGGCGTTTTTGTTTGTACTGTAATACTGAGTAGTGCATGACTGCGTGACGACGTTTGATTTGCAGCTGTCGGCTCCATGGTACGAGCTTTGTTACCCTTTAGCAACAAAGAGACGACCTCTTGCCGACTTGTGGTGGTGATCTCTGAGAGACCGGCAACTGTTATGCGCTGACCGCGATGATCTTCACGTAGTTCAAGTGGACCGCCGGGATTCAGCAGATCACGTATGAGCTCATTGTATATTTCCAAGTAGGAAATTGATACCTTTAAGAGAGTGACATGCCATAACAAATATTTATACCAAAAGTATAATGAGAAGTACTTTGACTTACTTTGCTACTGTTATTCGGCGAATTCTCGATATTATGAAAGATTTCTTCAATTGCACGTACCATCAGCCCACTTTCATTGTTATTGGCATCGACGTCATAGGCTGCTGTTGCACCACGTTCGGAGTTGGCCGTTGAGGTGGTTTTCTTGCGACATGGTCCCAGCATGGTGTGTGTTTTGCCAGAGCCAGTAGCGCCGTAGGCAAATACCGCAGCATTATAGCCATTAAGCACGTCCCTTACTAATGGAGCGGTGGTTTTCTTATAGACCTTTTCCTGTTTAAGGAATACATTGCAAATAAAATGTTCAATTTCAATTCTCTTCGGAAAAAAAACTTTATATAATGTAATGCATTTGAGAGGGAAAATTTTATCGCAAGAGTTTGGAAATTCTTTGGAGCTGATGAAATGATGAAAACCCAAACCATATAAGCGAGCCGAACAATTTTATCTCTTAGTGGGACTTGCCTGCGTATCAGTTTCTTTGAACACGTAATCGTATGAATACTGTCTTGGCCGACTTTTACCGCCATCATCGAACAAAAGAGATTTTTCTGAAATCACATCAATGCAATGGTCGTTGGTTTCTGCGCTGGGCCGAACTCGAACCACAACCTGTTTCACGTGAATATAATTAAGGTTTTAAATGATAATTTAAAAGAATTTATAGAAAGAGGACATACCACCAAACGCTCCTCCTGGGGTCCGCCTGCTGTTGCCAAACCTCTACTCTGCGTCGCCGAAGATGAGCTGCCGCCACTGCTGCTTGACCAACAACCATTTTGTGCCATTTTGCGCGCCCTAAAAAGCGGCGGCTCACTGCTGGAGCGAAGCGTGACTAGAGCTCGTAAATTAGCAGCTGTAAGTGAGAAAAACCACGATTTATTTACACATGTACAATGAAATACATACACACATATGTATATAGCTATATAGCATTAACTGGATATTAGCTCTATAAACTCGGTGTATGGGAAGTGTGCTCAACAGAAGTGGAAGTCTCTATGGCTTTATGAGGCGGAGTCGTAAGCCAGGTGTCTCTAATGACAAACCATTGAGTTTACCCACATGAACTTGTAACTTGTAATAAATCACTGCTTCTTCTTCAAATCCTGGTATGGTTCGTTGCTAAATATTACAACTTTTTCGTTTTTGTTTTGATTTGAACGAAAAAAAATTAACTGATTCCACTAAGTGCTCTGGCAGGATTCACCTCATCATAGCTGCACACAGACTACAAAAGATTCAGCATTATATTATATCTACACACATCTACAAAAAGTACAATAAATACAATAAATATGGCGAACAATCATTAAATGCTATTAAGGATTCCATGAGGTGACAGTTGTGGGCGTTGAAAAGTTCGAAAGTTTTGTTGATGTGCCACAACATTGTCAATAGTTTATAACTAACGCCCACGAGCGTGAAATCAACAGGACTGATGAATAAATAAAATAAGTTAACTAAGAAATCACTTTAATGTCCTCAAGAAAGATACTATGGGGGTATAATGAATTGATGGTTGGTAATGATCGATGGGCTCTAGTGCAGAAGTTCACGCAATTGACAAAAGCTTTTTACTGCCATTCACCTATAAGTGACCAGAAATGAATATTTTGCTTATGGTTTAAGCAGCTCAAGACTTCCAATCTTAGACCAAGTATCCTTTGGGTATCCAACAAACATCCGTTTGCAGGCGAGCTAAAGTGAGGAAGACCATCTCTTGCAGTTGTGCTCAGGGTTATAATTCAATGAAAAAATACAATATCAAATGAAAGACCATTTTGAATTGAGGGTCTGCACCCAGAATGTCCGGTTTCTTAACAGTGCAGCTGATTAATGTCCGCGTAAGGCTTATGGTTGAAGGTAGAACGTTGTCAAATCTACTACGGCAACTCTATAAAGGAGTATCAAGATGAAGTTTTTCAACATATCGCTGATTTACGTCCACGCTCCGACGGAAAGGAAGGAGGATGTAGCAAGATACAGTTTCTATGAGTGCCTAGAAGAACCTATGACTGCTGCCCTCGTTACGCTGTTAAAATTCTGCTCGTTGACTTAAGCGCCACGATGCACAAAGAATCTATCAGCCTCTATGACGAAATATCGCCAAATGGGCTGAGGCTGACCCACTTCGACGAAGGTCCGGAATATTTTTGGCTGCAGTGGCAGATTTACGAGAAAATTTATGAAGCTACTTGGCAGTCGCCGAATTAAAAATCACGCTATCTAATCAATCATGTTCTGATTGACGAAAAGCATGTCTCCAGCGTTCCAGATGTGCGTACTCGCCGAGGACCCAACAGCTATGCTCTGCACTAAGGAACCGTCAACATAAAACAAGAACTCACGATGACGAAAAGCTGCAATCTCAACCGTCTTCCACACCTTTTTTTCCGAGAGCACTTATCAGCAACTCCATGTAAGGGAACTGTGAAACGGTATCTCAATCTCTCTACGTGCCATTCGGTACGCTAGTACGATAAGGTATGGAAGAGAGGGAAGCTGGCCAACAAGGATACTGCGCGATTCTACAATATGAAAATACGCGATGCCTCACAGACGGTGTCAAGACCGGAGCTTATTGATGTAGAAACCAAGGTGGTTATCTGGTGACCAAAGTTCAGAGCGTACTTGCTGTATGGATGGAACACTTCAGTAATCTGCTAAATGGCAGCAAAAGCGTAATACCTTGAGATGGTAAGCCCGAAACCCCAATCGATAGTGTTCAAAAAGGCGGTGAAGGATTGGTAAGGTGCATGTATTAGTATCTTTACAAAATATGTTCGGACGAAAACATGCCCGATAATTGGCACCTAAGGGCGCTCTGCTCAATCCAGAAAAAAGGAAACTTCGTGGTCTACGCCAATTACCGTCGGATTCAACTTCTAAATATCGCTTATAAGGTCCTTTCAAACGTGTAGGGCAGGTGTGAAAGGCTAAAATCCATCATCATCCGTCAACAAACTAATGAAAAATTCGACATTTAATCTTTAAAAGAAAAGCAACGAGATGCCACCAGTGCTCTGCACAACGCCTTAAAGTATGCATGATTAAACAATGAGAATTTGTAGTAAAACATTTTTTATTTTTCCTCAGGTCGTTGAGGTAGGAATAGTTTTCATTACTTTTACCATTGTTGTGAATAATGCATGTGCACACTTTTAATCATTACAGTTAGGTGACGTTAGTTAGCCAAAGGCAGGAGACCTCAACCTTAAAGAGTGATTAACTTAATCACCACATTTGGGATATGTACAAGAAAATAATAAAATAATAGAAAAATAAATAAAGAAAATTTACGGAATATATGTATGTACGTGTATGTTTGTTTTATGTGTGGTTAATGGTTAAGAAAATTGATTTTCGTAAGTTTCCATGCAAGTGTTGAAGGTTATTTTTTCGGTAATGTTCATGTTAATTGCTTGTTTAAGGAGAGTGTTTCTAAACCTCCATGCCATACTTGACTATATCTTGTCGACAGTGAAGTTTAGGTAGCATTCGGTATATCTGAGTACATATTTATTTTTACACCTTTATGCGAATTTCCATTAATATTTCATTAGATATTTACTAAGATATATTTATCTGATGTCTCAGTTTTTTATTTACTTATAATTGGCGGTTACTTGAGGTCGCCTGAAGGTTATAATTATGGCGTGGAATTTGTATGCCTATGCATAGACTTACAGCCTATAGCTCATTAAAAGAAATTCGAAAAAATTATTTTATTTGCTTCCTAAAAGAATTAATTTTTTTTTTTAATTTCACTAAGTCTGCAGCAAAGTTGAATCGAATTAATGAACATTTCATATACAGCGACACAAACACAAAGATCAGATAGTTGCCACTTATTTAAAAATTCATTAAAAAAATATGAGAAAAAGCTCTTAATATGTATGCTATTATGACGAACTCCGGATTGTCAACGGGGGTTGTTGGCAGTATGCCGGGCTCCTTCACAAAAATGAAGAACACACATGGAGCTCATTGTAATTGTCTCACACGTCCATCTATGAACGGGTTGTAAAGATAGATGAGGACCTCACAACTATGTATGTACCTTCCCAGAGGGCAAGTAGTACCTCACCAACTCTAAATCCGTAAACTGTAGTAACAGAAGGAGAGAGAGAGAGAGAGAGAGAGTGGTTTCTCGTCTGCATCCGATATCTTGAAAACAAACATAGCAATTTTCCTAGCTGCCGACAGTTAATTTTGTCCGCTGTTGTTTTATTTGCTTTACATGTAAATAGGCTATTGCATACACATGCCTGCATATCTTAATTGGTACTGTGTGAAGTATTCTGTTGTTCCGGTGATATGTTGATCTATTGAGCTGTGATGTGATGTTGTTGTGTTGATGTGATGTGATATGTTGATGTGATAAGTTGAGTTGTTGGTATTATTGTACAAGCATCGAAGTAGGCTGGTTAAAAATTTTTAGAAAAAAATGAAAAAAATTGGATCGCATGTTTTCATTCATGTTTCAACATGAGATGATGATACAATTAATCCAAACTGATCTACCGTCGTACTAATTTTTTGATAATTATTACAACAGCTGGTCAAAAATTTTTGGGGTATTGGGCTGCTTTCAGAAAATGATGTTAATGTTCAGTACCAAGGCTCTACGGAATGGTTGAACATTTCTACCGAAATCTCCATCAGAGTCTATGAGAGATTTTCATACTCAATCGTGCCATTAACTTAAGCAAATAGTGTAATTTTGGAATATTTATCATCTGTATTGTATTTAGCCAGCTTCAGATACGTATTTGCAGTATTGCTCAAAAGTTCTTAAACAATTTTTACAGTTATCTCACTTTTAATAAATACTTTCGCATTAAGCATTTCGTAATTATATTCAGCTTGCAACAAAAAACAAATTAGTGTAATTAATATGTAATTGTTAATGTAATTGCTGATGCCGGTCACAGACACACTTCAATAAGAATTTTAAAAATAAATAATTTAACAGGTGGCATCTCTGCTGAATTTATATATAAGAAGTGCCACGCACCGGAAAAGCATAAACCATTTTCGTGAATTCGTTGTAGCCATGCTTTTTAGAGTAAGGACAAACTACTTATAAGCCCTTTGCATGATAATCCGATGAGACCAAACAATTCTGGTTGTGTTCGGTAAAGCCTTTCCAAAGTTGTAAGGTAACATCAAAAACGGTGACTTACGGTTATATACAAGGTGGGGCACGAATCGCGATAACTTCTCTCTATGCGGGTTAATCGGCTTATCTATTTTTTATTTGGCAAGCAATTATTTTAAAATTTTAATAATTAATGCTCGGGATACCGAAAAGAGGATTTGAATAGTGTAGCGGTACCCTGACTGGCAGTCCGTCATTTCCGTTGAAAGATAATTCATATTCGGTGGCATTCCTTCGAGTAGAAGGACGGATGATCATGTTCAACAAACAATCGCCATTTCAGGTAAATATTATATTCGAATTTCGACTCACAACTTATTGTCGTAACTTGGAGTTAGCAAAAGGTCATTACATCGGATATTTGATGATAACTTAAACCTATTTTCATATCAACTGCAATGTAGGTAATTAAAACTTTCGTATATGGAGAATCAATTCACGAGAAGGAACTTCATAGAGAACGGGGCACTCTGTGGTGCGGAGTTTCATCCAGATACATTGTCGAGCCATACTTCTTTGAAGAAAATGGTTTCGTTATTTAATGATTTAAAGATGTAGTTTTATTTTTTTTAACCAGAACTGCGCGGAATATGTATTCTTTTCAATAGTGTTTGGCTCTAGCAAGACAAAACAACTGCACACATAGACCGAACGGTTATTGCGGAGCTTCAATGAAAATG